TGAGGGATACTTGGGAGAATGTGTAGGGAGTTAAAGTGTACAGCTGCTGTATGGAAACTGAAAATCCTTTAGGAGCGGGTGGGGAAATATAGCTAGCTCAGGGAGTGAAGCCCTGCTCCCTGACCTTATTATGCAGTCCTAGTACTACAAAATTAAGATGTTCCTGCAGAGGAGCTACAGAGTGGCTAGAGTGGTTATCTTAGGGGGATTAAAGAGTTGAGTGCAGCGCTGCAGAATTACCGAATAGCTCTTTCTGTTGTGAAGGAGATGTGTGAATTATATCCCCTTTCTTGTTAGTTTAATTGAAACTGCAATATTCTAAAACAACACTTGCTTAAAAATTTCACTGTCTTTTTCCTTGGAAACTCCTCTGAGAGAGTGTGGAGAAGATACTATAATTTTGGATAAGAAGCAGTTTTCAAAAAGTTTTATCTGGTGCTATTTTAAATGTTTTAAGTACCTACTCAGCTTGTACCTTTTTGTTTATTTGATACCATTTGCAAAGACCTAATGCTTATAGTTGTATTTTACTAGCAAGGAGTTTTAAAAAGTAGCCTTATGATGATTCTTAGTTTCAACCTTCGTTTTAGTTTCAACCTTCATTATAGAGAGGTTTTTACATATCAGTTTCTAGCTGTTGCAAGATCTACCAGTTTTCCTTATTCAGCATTTTATATTTTCTTAAAGAAGATTGATTAATAGATGATTATGTTGGTTCAAGAACATAAAAAGAACTAGCAGTTGGATAAGATACAAAAAATGTACATACTAAAGGAAATGTCTTCTATTGAATGGGAAATGGTCTAGACTAGGGGTATGTGGGGGTTCTTGGGAAGCCTCCAGAGGGGTAGGTGGCAGCGAAGTGTGTGTGTGGTGGGGGGGGGCACTTCTGGGTTTATCGCTGGCACTTTCAGGTTTGCTGCCAGCACTTCTGGTTTTGCCGTTGGGGACTCCCTGCTTCTGGACTGGCTGCCGAGGGTACACCAACCCAAAAAGGTTGAAAACCCCGGGTTTAGACTAGGGGTGGTCAGCCTGTAGTCACAGTTAACATGGGCAGCTGCTGTATTGCATGCAGCAGGTCAGGGAGGGAGCAGGGAGCACCACAGCAGATGGGGTAAGGAGCAGAAAACAAAGTAGCAGATTGAGCAGAGAGCACAGGGAAGGAAGCAGGAAGTAGAACAGCAGATCAGGTAGGGAGCACATACCTAGGAGCAGAAAGCAGAGCAGCAGATTGGACAGAGGAGGGGGATTGTAGTGGCACTCAGAGAGGGTACAGGACTAATTTATGGCATACCTGCCAAAGAAGTTGGTTTCCACTGGTATAGACCATAATGATTCTATCTTAATTATCTTCCCTGAAATCCTTAACATTCTTGATCCATAATTTTTTTTTAATCGCTAGATCAAGCAATCAAAATCTATATCACCCGGTCTTTCCTGATAGATCTAGAAAGAGATGAACCAAGCTAGGGAACAATTTCTGGTTTTATGTAAAACTGATACAGAAAGTTATCAAGACTCCTAGTATGTGGCTCTTCAAAAACAATTAACTCAGCAAAGACTTGGATTATATTCAGGCTACTTGTAGTTTACAGAGAAATAAGAAAGCTTGGTGGATCTGAACATAATACTCTTTTTGGTATGCCTGTATTGAAATAGCTTAAACCAAAGCAAAAGAACCCTGAAGCACTGCAGGCCAGTTAACCAAATCAAATTCAAGAATTTCCTGTACATATTGAATGTTCCTGCTATAAATAATCTTACCAGAATAATAGAGAAATGGGACATTTTGTTATACCATTTTAACCCTGTATCCTTACCTGCACAAGATAATAGTTTGGTAAGTATTTCTGTTGGCTAACAATGCTGTTTCATCATTTTGATACTGTTAATTTTATCATTTAGCTGTCTTGGAAATTATTCCAATTGATTCCTCTGGTCTGAATTTGAGATTTAAAAATGTAATGAAGGACATTGTCTCTCAGATACTTTCTTGTAAAATAACTGCATCAGTTATTCTGGCCAATGACAGCAGTACTAGAAATGAATCATTACTTAAATACCATATATTCTTATACGCAACATGCCCCCAAGTAAGATAAGCACCTTATTTTTGAAAGACAGAATGAAAGAAAAAAAGATCTTTCTTTGGAAATACTGATAAGTACTAGGGGTGTATGAAGCGGGCCCTATTTGATTTGGATTTGGATTCGGCTCAAATCAGGGATAGTGTTTTGATTTGTTGATTCGGATCACTATCCCTGATTCAATTTGGCTAAATCTGAAGATTTGATAGACATTAGGGCTGGAAGGGACCTTGGAAGATCATTGAGTCCAGCCCCCCGCCCAAAGGGCAGGAAGTCAGCTGGGGTCATAGGATCCTAGCAAGATAAGCATCCAGTTTGCTCTTGAAGGTGTTCAGTGTAGGTGCTTGAACCACCTCCGATGGCAGGCTGTTCCAGACCTTGGGGGCTCGGACAGTAAAGAAATTCTTCCTTATGTCCAGCCTGAAATGGTCTTGCAGTAGTTTATGACCATTTGACCTTGTCATCCCTTGGGGCACTCTGGTGAACAAATGTTCCCCCAGATCCTGGTGGTCACCCCTGATAAAACTTATAGGTGGCCATCAGATCACCCCTGAGCCTGTGCTTTTCCAGGCTAAAGTGCCCCATGGCTCTCAGCCTGTCATCGTAAGGTCTGTTTTCCTGACCTCTGGTCATGTGCATGGCTCTTCTCTGGTCTCTCTGAAGCTTCTCCAAACCCTTTTTGAATTGTGGAGCCCAAAACTGGACGCAGTACTCCAGCTGCAGCCTCACCAAGGCCGAGTACAAGGGGAGAATGACGTCCCGGGATTTGCTTGAGAAACATCTATGGATGCAAGCCAGCGTTTTGGTCGCTTTAGTAGCCGTAGCATCGCATTGCAGGCTCATATTCATCTTGTGGTCAATCATGACCCCCAAGTCTCTTTTTTCTGTAGTGCTAGCCAGCATAGCACTGCCAAGCCTATAAGGATGCTGCAGGTTTTTCTTCCCAAGATGGAGAAGCTTGCATTTTTCAGTGTTAAACACCATCAGGTTCTTGTCCACTCATTTGCTGAGCCTGTCCAGGTCAGCCTGGATCACCCGCCTGGTGTGGGTGCTTTGCCCCAAAGTGTGGTGTAATTGGCGAACTTGGCCAGTCCGCTTCTGACTCCAATGCCCACATCATTAATGAAGATGTTGAACAATATGAGTCCAAGGACAGAGCCTTGGGGGACCCCACTGTTCACAGGACACCATGATGAGTGACTTCCATCAATTACTACCCTCTGGGTCCGACCATGGAGCCAATTTTCCAGCCAGTGGATCGTGGTGGACCCAAGACCACAGTTGGCCAGTTTTGCCAAGAGGTGATCATGGGATACCAGACTGAAGGCTTTTTTGAAGTCAAGATATGACATCAATCTCTTCTCCCTTGTCCAGGTGATAGGTCACCTGGTCATAGAAGGAAATGAGATTGGTCAAGCAAGACCTACCCGCAAGAAACCCATGCTGACTATCCCTCAGGATGTTGGTGTCAGCCAGTCGATTAAGGACGGACTCTTTAATAAACTTTTCTAAGATCTTCCCCTGGGATAAAAGTCAGGCTGGTAGGCCTGAAGATTCAATGCTGATTCAGAAAATCAGCGATTTTGGACATAGGCATAGCTTTAAAAGTTTTTTCTACATACCTTGAGGTACCAGCGCGGCTCGTGATCGCTGCGATGTTGCGGCACATGCAGCGTCCCACAAGTGAGGGGGGGCCCTCCACATACTCGGTGGCAAACCTAGAAGGTCTGCTGGGGAACGTGCTGGGGAGCCCCCCCAGCTCAGCGGTCAGCCGCAGGGGGACCCCTGGTGCTCCCCCCAGAACCAGGAAGTACCAGTCGCTGAGCTTTGGGGGCGAGGGAGCCCAGCATGCTCCCCAGGGGACCCGGAAGTGGATCATAAGTGCTTCTGGTCGACTTGTGGGTCTGCTGCTGAGTGTGCTGGGGAGCTCCCTGTGCTTCTGTGGGACACTTCATGTGTCCCAGCATCGCAGCACTCATAAGCCCCTGCTACCTTGAGGTATGTAGAAAAAACATTTAAAGCTGTGTCTGTCCAAATCTCCAAATCTTTCCCAATCTCTCCGAATTGATTCAGGGGGTTCAGATTCTATTCGGAGAGATTAAAGGGTCCTCCTGATTCAATCTGGATTTGGATATTTGGCCACCAAATTGGGCCGAATCTCTGCCTAATCGAATCAGGGACTAAAGCTTCGCACAGCCCTAGTAAGTAGCAGTAAATGAGAAGCAGCTTCTGCAACAGGAGCCTCTGCTGGGGAGAAAGGGAACATGTCTGGAGCTAGGGAGCCCTGTGCTCATTATGCTGCTTTCTTTGCAACATGGGCAGCATTACTTTTGCTACCCCTCTCCTCCTCCTCCCCTCCCCCCAGAGGCTGAACTGCTATTACCTATTTCCTTGCTTATCATTTTGGCTCCTGAATTTTAGAAAAGAGACACACCGTATGCAAGAATATACAATATAACCCAAAATGTATTAAGTAACTTGTCTTGATACTGGGTTATTTTTAGTAGCTTTTCTAGCTCCTAAGTACTAAAATAACTTTGCCTTGTGGTACTTTATACTCTTGTAGTCTTAACTTTCTTACTTTTGCTAGCTTAAGTCAATTTAGTAAGCACGAAACTGAAGTTAGTACATCTGGGATGATCTAGTTGGGGATGGCCCTGTTGTAAGCTGGGGGTTGGAATAGATGAGCTCCTGAGGTCCCTTCCAACCCTAATTTTCTATGATTCTATGCTTCTACATTTTTTTTTTTAAATATACACCTCAAGCAGTGAATTGTTGACTGAAACATTTAAAGTTAGGAGAAACCTCCCTTACTAAAATCTATTTTAACTCTTATTTCGTTTTGAAGAGATATATGTATTTATACCTGTAGGAAGCTTTAATGAGTTTACTTTCTTTTTTTTTGTGCTTTAGGAGCTTGTTCGAAAAGGGATACCCCATCATTTCAGAGCAATAGTATGGCAGCTTTTATGCAGTGCTCAAAGCATGCCAATAAAGGATCAATATTCAGAGCTCTTGAAAATGACCTCTCCTTGCGAAAAACTAATAAGAAGGGACATTGCTAGGACATATCCTGAACATGATTTTTTTAAAGAAAAAGACAGCCTTGGTCAGGAAGTTTTATTTAATGTAATGAAGGTAAGTCTGTAGTTCGCAACTCTTCTTGGAAATAAGATATTGTAACATAGAGACTTGAAATATAACTTATGTCTTTGTATTTTTGAACTTGCACCTAGTCTTTGGCAATATAATCTTTTAAAGCTGTAACTTAGTACAGTATTAAAATGTTTTTTTGCCAGTTAGCACAACTTTTATGATGGCTTGAAATATTTGTATTCCTTTTAACCAGAGGAATACTTCACTTATCAGTGGTCCAAAAAAACTTAGTTACCTCATTAGATTAAAACAAAATGCTAAATGCTGAAAGTATAATGGAATGTGTTATATGCAATAGATCATAAATGCTGTGACAATTGACTGAAATGTGCACTAGAAATCAAAACTGACATTAAATCTTCAAACCATTCTGTTGATCTTATGTGTTGAAGGTCAGAGTGAAGAAAACATCTACAGGCTGACTTAAGATTACTATACAAGATGAGTTCAGGATAAAATGTTTCCTAAAATTAGAATTTCCCTGCATTTTGTGGTTAATGTCATTATTTTGGGACTTAAATTAGGAAAGTAGATTCCAGATTGCAGTCTCTGGAAGTCCTTTGTCAGCAGAAACACTGAGCAGCTGTCAAATCTGATTAACAGAGTTAAATTTGACAACTCTAAGTAAAATCTAAAGAGCCAAGAAAAAGCACATGTATACAGACTGTCCATGTCTTATTTCATAGCATTAACCTCTTCAGGAAGTCCCTACTAATATCTGTGTTACAGGTTTCTCTGTGGACCAGGTTGTTGGGTGCAAAGGAGAAAATAAATAACGGTGTTATCCAGTCTGTATTCCAAATTTGTCTTTGTACTCTCTTCCTAGATTTGATTAAACTCTCTTGTTGAGGAATGCATTTTTTTTTAAAAGTGGGT